GAGTAGAGCGGTGGCAAGCAGAGGGATGACCTTAAAAAGGCAGGACAGTAGTCACGCAGCTGTTCTACTGCTAGCTATTCATATTTCAAGTATGATTGTCCTCCGCTGCCTCTGATATAGCGAAATCATGGCTACGGTACCTGTTCGATTCGAATTCTATTGCGATGGCGGCGAGAAAACATTGCGTTACATTTATGACATTCCACAAGAAATTGTTCGGCGCAGCCAATTGATTGGCGAAACCAGCCCTTACGATGATCGCTTCATGAGAGCAGTAACACCCGTCCTGAAGGCACGGCAAGGAATATGTCAAACCGTATCCAGTGCGTCTTGCGAGAATTGCGGATCCCGGGCAACGGATATTCTACAACACGTTATTTCCTGGCTCAACAAGGTACAAGATCCATTTATTGGGGTCTACGTCTTCGCGGTGTGTGGAAAGGCTGAGTGCGATATGGAGGTACGAGAGGAATTGGGGCTCATCATGCGGGAGGTCAGGCCCGGACTCCACAACGAGGCTCCGTCTCGTAGGGCAATTCTTGTTTGTCAGGTGTGTGGAAAGATGGTGGGAGTTAAAAAATGCGGGAGATGCTTGGCTGTGGGATATTGTAGCATGGAGCATCAGAAAAGAGATTGGAAGGTTCATAAGAAGGTTTGCAGGCAGTAACGAGTCATAGGTGTGATATGTAAAAGTAGGCATGATTCTTGTTCTGCTGCCTGAAGCGAGATTGAAGACGGGGGCATAGGTATGCGTATTTGAATATTTTGAGTGTGATAAAGTAGCCTTGCTTCGTTGATACTTCTTCGTCGTTGGTTCAAATTGTTTCCTGATATTTCCTGGGTGGCTGGCGGATGCGATGCGGGCGGGATAAGTCAGACGCCGAGGCCTTGGGAGATTCAGGCTCGGATGCATCCTGACTGTGAGGCGGAGCCGTGCCTGAGCCGTCACTGTCATTGCCGTCGTCGAGATCTCCTTGCGAGAGAGAGTCACCAGAGTCGCATGTGACGACAATAGTCGATGGTTCGGAGGATTGACGGGGTTTCTTTGTTGGAGTTTCGGGAGGGTTGGAGAGCGGTCTTTTGACGGACGCGCTTGCAGAGGCCGGTTCCAAGGACTGGGGCGTCGCAGGTATGGCGCCGCCGGGGGGACGCTGGCGTTTCTTGGTGGATGTAAATCGCGCCATGGCGTTGTTGTAGTCGGAGGTACCGGCGGCAGGGCGTTTTGGTGTTGCGGGAGAAACCGGCGCCGTGGGCGGTTGATTGAAGCTGCCCTTGTCAAGAAACGTCCAAGCATCGGGGACGATGATGAAAACGTAGTCTTGTCCGATGGGTGGCGGTTGCCGCATGGTTTTATGGGCCAGGAGTCCGGCAACCTTCCCGGTGCAAGTCAATTGGGCGCCTGGCTGAAACTGAGATTCACGTCTCTCGACCATTCTCTTGCAAACTACAGTCCAAGGGTTAGCATGAACGGGAAAGATGACGAACACCTGGAATGGATGGTATCCCTTAAAAGGCGTGCTCTCCGGCTTCCCGGGACAAATAAATGTGGAGAGTTGGACGAAGCCACAGCACTTTAGCTGCACCTCGTCGAAAGCAGTAGCCAAGTTTTCATGCAGGAGGTCATGTCCTGAGCCCATGATAGGACCGGTGAAAGAGACAATGGGCATCATGACTGGGTGTGTGGAGGTCAAGCGAGCACGGCGAGGAGCCACGCTGAGAGGAATAGTCAAAAGAAGTCTGCCAGTGGCAGGCGCCCGTTAGGGAACGTACGGTTGGAAGCTGTGATCGCGGACAACGAAGACAGGAACTGTGTACTGGATGACGCTATCATCGTCTGTCTCCATACCGTCGCGTTGCTCCAGTTCCCATGTTAGGGCGAACGGATGGACGCGACCGGCCATAAAAAACCACTGGTCGGCCCAGTCCGACTCGTCAATCTGCTGGTTGTATACGGAGATGTTCAAGCTGAAAAAGACAGACTGCGATCCGTCATCACGGGCTGCCTGGATTGGGGCATAGTCGGGACCTGAAAGCCAGTGGGGAGTTGGTAGTTCGATCTTGGCAAGAGTCTCGGCGTTGAGGCCCTTGACGCGATGGTCGTCCGGGTAAGCGAACCTGGCCGGAGTAGCCGCTGGCCGAAGGAATGTCATCATGGTCATGTCGCCGCCGGCGTATTTCTGGCTGTCCAGAGGCCTGCGTTCAAGTGATATTGGGTCATGCTGAGGATCGGACATTTCGTGAGGCGGTGAATCGAGAGTCATAGAGGTGGAATTGTGAAATTGAGGTATCTGAGAGTAAGGTTGATGTGGCTCTATAAGGGAGGATGTTGCTTCCGAACTTATTATACAGAGGGGTTGTGCAAGAAAGGGCTTGAGGGTCGACGTGCCGTAGAAATCGATGGTGACGCTGCGAGATGATCTGTCACAAGGCGCGCATGTGGGAGTGAGTCAGTTTCAGAGGTAGCAAACAGCGTCTACCGCAGTCCAGTGAGAGCCTGACGCCGGATCAATAAGGGTGGAGGGTCAGGCGATGACTGAAGGAGGGATTTGCCCTTGAGGTGCGGAGTTGGGAGTATGAGTGTATTTCATTCCGGGCGGTATAGAGAAGAAAAAGAAAGCCTATCAAGACATGCTGACGAGACTAGCTCTCGGGAGTCGTTCATGAGTGCGGAGACGACCAATCGCAAAGCGGAGAACGCGAAACATAAGTGTCACATTGCAGGAACTCCATTGAGGAAGTACGTAATTAGTTGCCTGTGCAGACTTGACTGGAGAGCAGGGGTTGAGACAGACAAAGGGTGCGACAGGATGTGGTGGAATGAATAGTCAGTAATGTGCGCACTTGCGAGTAAGGGGTTGAGGTGAATAGCGATGTGAGGTTTTGATGGAAGAGGGCCGCAATTGAGGGAGGACGTTGCACAGCTGTATTCAACTTGTGCGCAGACAGTCATGAATGACATTCGCAGATATTTGTCGTCAACGGTGAGCGGAGATGGGAAAGGAAACGAGACCACCACGTGTATGCCGAGCGCTTCGGAGCCATCTGCTGGTTCTGCTGAGTATGACGGACCCAGGGAATATGCCAACTCTCGGGAAGAGACAACCGCATCCGGCAGGGGAGTGTTCAAGGGAATAGGGCGACCGCCGGGACGACGTGTGCGGTTTCGACATGAGAGGCTGGCCGACGCTCCTGGGCATTTTCGACGTATCGAACCGAATGTCGCCGCGAAAGTCAGTCTCAATTGGCCTGGGAGGGTGTTCCTTCGCTCGTCGTTCAAAGCGTTTTGCGACGAGACCAGTACCGTGGTGAAGGCCAATAAGAGTGTCCATCAGAAGTCGCCAGTCACTGCTGAAAGCAAGAAAGACCCTCAGAAGTCGTGCGGTGGGCCGTCCGGGAGACCGCTTCCCGGGGGCCGGGCGGAAACCCAGAGCTTGAGCGGTGCGACAACGCCACTGCGAGATATCAAGCCGAAAGCGCAAGTGTTTGTTTTCCGTGACGAGACAAGAGCAGTTGAAAAGGCATACGGCTCATCTCAACGCCCGCCTAGTATGGCGGGAAGCAGCGCGGATCTGCCGAGTCTTCACTCCGGGTGGTACGGGTCTCAGCCGTCGAGCGTGGCATGCCGCGGCCGCCCCAATATTTCGGGGAGTGCATTTGGTGTTGCGCAGCATGCGCCAAACCTAGGCCAAGGAGAGGTCCATGAAGAGACGTTCGACCGTCGTGTGGGGCAATGTGCGTCGTCGAATCCAAGCGAGGAGGTACAAGACGGGGTGACGAAGAACACGGCTGACCCTTATCGGCCCATGGAGCCGAGCCGCTCTGCGCAGGATGGTGGACTGGCCTTTTCGCTGCGGAGGTTCTCGTCCGTGGACGAAACGAGGGGAGTGGGAGAAGGTTCCAACACCACGCGACCCTCAGCGGCAGCAACTGTTGGCGATAGGCCATGCGGTGGACCCGCGCGACAACCATCTTTGCCCTTTACAGTGTCGAAGCGTCTTGTAGGCGCAGAGATAGTGGCAGAGCCTGCGAAACCTACCAGGCGCCCCAGTGGCAGACCGAGGACAAGATTGGGCCTTGAGAGACGGCAGTCCGAGGTGAGTGGTCATGACTCGGGCCGCCGTATACGACCGAAGAAGACGGACACGGGCTTAGGTGAAGGGAGCGCGGGCCCGTCCGATGCTGCTGTCGGAGGAGGGTTCGCAAGTGGGCCGCAAGAGGAAACGACGACGACCCAAATCAGGCGTGTCGCGAGAAGAGCAACAGACTCCAATGAGGATGCCAATTCCACTACCCCTAGGTTGTGGTCTGCCACAGCATCAGACTTGACGCCTGGGAACTTGGACAGTACGCATTGGCGACCGATCCAGGCCAGAGAGGAGGTGCACGGCAGGGAAGACGTGCATCCCACTGGAACAGAGGCGAGGCGCCGGTCCGACGGGCACGCAGAACGGGAAGCCCATTTGACAGAGCAGACTGAGATCGAATACGTGACAAGGCCCACGCAGCGAAGAAAGCGAAGAAGGCGCCCTGACCAAAAGGAGAGCCCGCCACCGAGAAAACGAGTCCGAAGAAGCCGGCGAAAAGTAAGAACGTCGGAAGACGAGGCCAATGACCTGGCCAGTGTCCTGCGCTATCTCGAGGATCAATACGCCCTGAAGGAGAGACTGTCTAACGAGCAGACGTGGTGCCTGCCAGTGTCGCATGCAACGAAGGGTTCGACGGTCCGTGCATTCTATCAAGCATTCCACGACAGGAGCACGATGGCAATTCAGACCTGTGGCGTGTGCTACCGCAAGCGCACGGAGAAAGAGCTCAGGAGTATGGGGTGGAGCGATTGGGTTTTGACCCGTCTCTCCACGCGCAGGCACTCTCCTTTTGCCTGCTCAAAATGCTTCCCTGAAGGCACGTCCGTGGCAGTTTGTGTAGAATGCGCGCGTCACCTGGGGCGCGGCAGCCTGTCTCCGGCCGCCCAGTTGCATGGCCGACTCGGATGCGAGCACATGTTCCCTGAGGAGCTCAAGGGCCTCTCGCCCGTCGAGGAGAAGCTGATCGCGCTGAACTCCTGTTATGGCATTTTCACGCGCCACGCAGTCTCGACTGCCGCAGGGCAGAGGCAGTCTATCAGGTATCCGAGGCACATCAAAGGTCACGTCACCGTGTTCCCCAACAATGTCCAGGACTTGACGACGAAAGTGTTGCCACATCCCCTCTTGAAGGTGATGGACGAAATCCACGTCTCTTGGCAGGGGCCGGAAAAGCCGACGCCGGTCGATCTCTCAGTGTTGCTGTCAGTGAGGCGACGCGTCGTGGAGAGGGCGCTCGTCTGGCTGAAGCGGAACAACCCCCTTTACGCCGACGTGGAGATTGATGAGGCCGAGATGGATACTTGGAGAGCACCAGTCGACGGGGTGCCCGCAATCGTGTATGATCGCATGGAGCGGTATGAGCCGTCCGCGTGGGAGAAAACACGAACGGCGCACGTGGTGCCGGCCACGGAGCGAGGCTTGGACGATGAAGGCGCGGTGGATATTGACGATGTTCTGGCTTCGCTTGACGTAGAGTCGGATCCGGTGGGAGAGAACGCCGAGCGGCAAGAGCCTGTCGGTAACGCGGAAGCTCCTTGTGCCGAAAGTGGTGGCTCTGCAGGCGCCGTGGGGCAGTTGGTCAATGAAGTGACATCGTCCGGTATGTTCGCGCTGGACGGTGTGCCAGACGTGGCCGACGTTGAAAAGTTCCACTTCGCCTGCCAAGCTGTTCGTGGCCGCGCTGGTGATGGGCTCCATGGGGTCGCAGGGCCGACGGCCACGTTGGAGACGCCAGGGGAAGAAACATCGGGGGCGGACAAACGCCACGAAGCGTTCATCCGCATATCGCGGGGAGACGACTTTGCCGACTCTTCAGAAACGGCCTTCTTCGCCAAAGCCTTCCCGACCCTTTTCCCTTTTGGCGTCGGAGGCCCAAAATTGGCGGAAGAGGGCCTACTCCATGTCGGGGGAGCCGGAGCTTCTGCCGGTGCCTCATACGGCCGGATGCCTGAGGCGGAAGCGGTGGCGGGAGCTCTCGTGGCCTCGAGAAATCTCCATCTCCGCGCATGGGCGGACATCGTACTTCGGCGTCATGGCGGGCGGTTCTCGACGCACCACATCTTCGCATTCCTAGTGTTCAACATGGGCGTGCGTTCGAGAAATCGCCGAGTCAGCATGTTGAGTGTTGCCAGAAGGAATTTCAACTCAATCGAACGTATAGTGCGGTCAATGACGGCCGAGAGATTGGCAGCGGCCAGCGCGGAGTTGGAGAGCACGGGTAAGACCAGCGACGACGGTGTCAGGGAGCTTCTCCGAAGTCTGTCGGTGTACGGACATCGACAGCCGATGTCGAGGGAAGTCCGTCTGAACATGCGCCGCAAGATCCAGTCGAGCATCGTTGCGCATGGCGTGCCAGCCATCTGGTTTACATTGAACCCTAACGACATCACGAATCCCGTGAAGCTCCGGCTGGCAGCCTACCGGACACGAGACCCGCATGAGGCTGAGGCGTTTCTGGAGAGCCTCGGAAATGCGTACAAGCGAACCCGGTTGGCGATTTCCGACCCCATGAGCTCCGCCATATTCTTTCATAGGGAGATGACGTTGTTCTTCGAAAAGTACGTCAAAGTTGGGGAGGAATCGGTGTTCGGGCGGATCAGTCATTACTTCGGCGCCGTTGAGACCAACGAGCGAGGGGCGCTCCACATCCACGGTCTGCTTTGGTTGCACGGCAATGCGCAGCTGGCTTCGGTTCTCGCCGATGTCAACGGTGAGGGCGCGGCCGCGTATAAGGAGGGAATCATTCGCTACGTCGACAGCGTTTTCTCCGAGGTAATGGTGGAGGTGGACAAACATGGCCGCATGCAGATGGCTAACGAGAGAAGCAGGACCTTGACGCGGAAGCCTTTTGCGCCGTCCAGGCTGAGCGATCAGCGGTCTCGGACATTTCTTCTAAACTGTACAGCCTGGAGCGATCCTCGTCTGCATTCGACGAAGAAGCGAACTTCTGCGCCGGCGCGACGCAGATCCACACCCATAGCGCGACCTGCCTCAAGTACTCGCTGGGTAGAGCGAGGCAAAAGGGCGGCCTGTGCCGATTCAAGGCACCCTGGAAACTGGTCGAGGAAACAGCATTTACGGACGAAGGGATCTTGAAGATTCGGAGGACGCATCCGCTGGTAAACCGATGGAATAAGGCCATAGCCGTGGGTCTGCGACACAACCACGATATCTCGTTCATAGCGACGCAGAAGAAGACGTTGGCCCTGATCTACTACGTGACAAACTATTCGACCAAGGTGGAGGATCCGACATGGAAGCGGGCGGCAGCGGCGGCGGAGCTTCTCCCGTCCATGAGCGGCGACAACGTGGCCAGCGAAGGAGAACCGGCCACGCAAAGCGGCAGCATGATTGAGCGCCCGCACGAAAATAGAACACGGCAGTTCCTGATGAAGGTAGCTAACCGAGTATTCACGGAGCGCCCGTTATCGCAGGTCGAGGTGGTCGCCCACCTTTTAGGTTATCCGGCCGAATTTTCGAACAGTAACGCCTGGGCATACCTCAACACCTCCCTGTTGTACTGGCAAATCTTTCGACGGTGGCGGCATCTCCGAGACGAAAGCGGTGCAGCAGTCTCTGGCAACGCTGTGGACGAATCAGTGGTCGTCGAGGAGGCCGGCTACAAGCTTGGCCACGTCGAGGCCTATGAGCATCGCGGCCCGGTCTTGCGAGACTTGTGCCTGTATGATTATGTGTCGATCGTGAGATTGAAGCGATGCGACAGCAGCAAGGCAGAGCGTGCCGCTGGCTGGGGCGAGATACCCTTCGAGGACTCGTGGCGGCCAGGGAAGACCTGGATCCAGGTGCTCAGGCGCCCCGGCAAGCATGCGACAGTCTGCCTTGACGGGTACTTGAGCAAGGACTTCACTGAGGTCGAGGAAGATGAGATATGTCATAGAAGGTATGCAGTGCGGCTCTACCCTGCCCCGGAGGCTTATCGAGGGAACGATGGCTGACCGCAGAGCGACGATAAAGGGCTGCGGTACAGCACCTCGCGCTATTCGTGCCGTGGAACGCCTTCTTGCGAGACGAAGTGGGGGACATCAACGACGTCTGGACGCGGGCACGACGAGCTCTTTCATCGAGGATATCGTGTCTCATTGAGAATGTGCAGCTGCTCCGACGATCCGCTGAGGACGCAAGACGCGATGCGAAACAGTGGGCGGCGTCGTCCGGAGATGGCGACGCAATGGTCTCGCATAATGAGGAGGGCGACGCAGCCGAGGCGTCCAACGGAGCATACGAAGCTAGTGAAATCGGAGACGCGACGCGGCTCATTGACGTTGTACGCAACGCTCTGAGCCCCGGTCAGGTGACGGCCGACTCGGCGGAGCTGAGAACAATGGTGCAGCAGCTCTCTCGATTCCAGCAAGCGAGCCTCGGCTCAGCAGCCGAGCTTGAGGCCGCGGCAGTACCGGAACGGGGCATTCGGCGAATTGGCCTGCCGGGTGCGGTATTCACCGGCGCCGCGGTACCGTCACAGGACCAAGTAAGAGCCATCAAGGCGCAGCAGATGAGCACGTCCAGAGAGAAAGAAAGAATGATCCAGGGCATACAAAGCGCTCCCGCAGTCGCGCAAACCGATCACGGAGCCGCAGTACGGGGCGCATTGAGCGGTTTCGGGGACGACAACCTCGAAGTGGCAGCGACGGACACCGACGAAACGGAGGAGCAGGCCGTTGCGGAGATGGAGGTGCAAGTCGGCCCTTCGAGTTCCTTTCTCGCCGCCGGCAAAGACTGGGCAAGGCGGTTGACGTTGAATAAGAGGCAATCAATCGCTTTTCTGATCATCTGCCGACATCTCGACATGATGCACGGGAATGAGACGGCTAACGCCGGCCAATTGTGCCAGTTTGTCGGAGGCGAGGGCGGGACGGGCAAGTCGCGCGTTATCGAAGCGCTGGTGGGCTTGTTCGCTGCGCGAGGCATATCGAATCGCCTTCTCATCACAGCAACGTCCGGCACGGCCGCGGCGCGAATCAACGGGATCACGATACACTCCGCCTGCGGTTTCACAAAAGACCAAGGCACTCTGGGAGGAAACGCGTCGAGAGGCGTGGACGGGGTGAGCCTACCCAAGCAGACGGAGCGGTTTGTGAACGGTCAGAGCCGAATGGACTGGCAGGAAAAGGACGTCCTCGTCATTGACGAGGTAAGCATGCTCGGAGCACGAACACTGCACGCAGTCAACGAGCAGCTGTGCCGGCTGCGCGGGTCGCAGCGGGACTTTGGGGGAACCCCAATCGTGCTCTTCTGTGGCGACTTCCACCAGTTCCGGCCGGTGCAGGAGCGGTCGATCCTATTGCCCAGCGCGGCCATCTCATGGGACGTGGATAACTCGTTCGAGGCGGAGCAGCGGCACCAGCACGACAACGCGCACGCGCTGTGGAGCAGATTCACGACGGTGGTCATGCTGAACGAGCAAATGCGCGCCGCCGGCGATCCGGAGCTGCAGAGGCTGCTGACGCGCATCCGGCGGGGCGAACAGGACCATGCGGACTTGGACTTCCTCAACGCAAGGTGCTACCGCGAAGGCAGACGGATCCCGTGGGAGACGGGCATCACGGTGGTGACGCCGCTGAACAGAAACCGCTGGAACCTCAACATGGAGGCAAGCGTGGCTTTCCGGGCCCAGGAGCGGTCGGCGATGCGTATCTTCATCTCGGAGCACAAGTGGAAGGACGGCGTGCCGACGGAGGAGGAGGCTATCATGATCCTTAACCAGGGAGACGATAGCGCCATCCCCGTGCCGGCGGTCTTCATGTTCGTGCCAGGGATGCCGGTTGTCGTGAATCGAAATACGTACCAGGGCCTCAAGGTGACGAACGGCGGTGCATACACGGCCGTCGACGTCGTCGTCAACAAGGCGTTTCCTGGCCATCGGGTTTCGGCCGGCATAACGGTCCACTTCGGGCCGCCGGCGGGGATAATCCTGGCGTCGGAGACGACGAGGGACCTCCACTTCGTCGGCATGCCGCCGGGCACGGTGCTGCTGACGCCGATGAGCGTAAGGATCGCCCGTCAACGAAAGCGGCCGTGGCAGCGCACCGACGTCAGCCGGAAGGGACTGCCGTGCACCGCGGCTTTTGCGTGCACCGACTACAAGGTGCAGGGCAGGTCGCTGGACCGCGTGGCGCTGGAGCTGCGAGGCACGCGCACGATGAACATCGAAGGAAGGGTGGTGCCGGCGCAGTGCGACCCCTACAGCTTGTACGTGCAGCTGTCGCGCTGCCGAACGCTGGACGGCATCATGCTCGTGTCCAAGGTCCGCGAAAGGGACCTCGTGGCCAACCGAGTGCCGCCGGAGATGACGGACGCGCAGAGCAGGCTCGACGAGCTGAGCGAGAAGACGCTGCGGGAGGCGGCATGCTGGCTGGGCGGCGAACCGTTGAGTCACAACGCGTAGGCGGGAACGGCTTGAGGGGCCAAAGCGGCGGCAAAGGGCCGAGAGGTTGGCAAAGGCGGGGGTCACGTGTGAAATGTGAAACGCCCCCAAGAAAAAGCAAGGAAAAGATAATTAACGTGCGTTATCAGCGAGTGGACCATATCAGCGAGTGGACCACTTTTCACCACAGCACGCGCAAGATGTTCAATTAACCACCACGAAATGAAACAACTACGATAATTACATTAGAAATGGATTATTTAGACCCTCCAGTAGCATTCTGACAGGTTCGTACGTTATGACCAATG